CCCACCACCGCATTATTCTAATGAGAAGCAAAACGACCGACAACGCAAGGCTCAAATGCTCGCTATGGAAATCCTATTATACAATGTCCGCGAGTCGGAAAGAGGAAGTCTGGCGAAAAGAGGCAGAGAAGGCGTCTTATGGGGGGCGGCGGTCGGTCGGGGGCGGACGTCATCGTCTCCACGACGGAGCGGCAGTTGGAGTAAGGTGAACCCGCGAGCCAAGCGGTGAAGGTGCAGGTCGCACATGCGCGGACGGCGAGGACGAAAGCGAGTAGCCCTCGCAGGGGGCGCAAGTTGTCCGCGAGCGCGCGCGCGCGCCATCCCCCGACGACAGTCATTCAGGACGCAAAACGTTCCCGAGACAACGACGGCGCAGCAAGCAACGTGCCCCGCGGGAGCACAGCCCCGCGCCGCCGGGCTTAGGATCGGCTTTGGCTCACACACACACATACACACACACTCACACACATTATATATAAATACAATAACATTGAGAGACGCAATAAAAATCTCCTCTCACCACGCGCAGTGCGCGCAGCCGCCGCCGTGACGGCCGGCCGGGGCCATCAAACCCCGCAGTCCTAATCCCAATCCGAGCGCGGCAAAGGGTGGCAGCACCAGCAGCAGCAGCGCGAGCTCGGCCGACGCAAGTTTGAACACAGCTCCGCGGGGAGGCCAATGAGGAGGAAATTTAGTTTTGGAACGCTGGTCGACGAATATTGATTACAGCGACGTTGAGAGCCGCTTCGTAAAAAGTGCCCTAGAAATTTGAGATATTTATGGGAACAGTGACGTTTGTATATCTGTGGATCGGCGCCAGGGCCGCAGCCCGGGATTGTCCGAAAGCCCCCATAGTCGGCGGAGCCAGCGCGGAAGGAGAAGGCTGATTGAAAGAAATGAAATAAATCTCAAAGCAATCGCCACGCGTTTTCACACAGACACACAAGGGTGCAGATAGAAAGAGCGCGGGTGGTGGGGTGCGGAGAGCTCCAAGGCCGCCGCGGCGAGAGAGGGAGAGGGGCTGACGCCACGCGAGAGAGAGAGAGAGAGCGAGAGGGATACTACTACTAGAGAGAAGGGCGAGGGAGGCAACATGAGAAACGAGGCGGGCAAACAGCAGCTTTCCATAAAGCGGCAGCAATAAAATAAAGCGCCATTACCGGGGAAACAGCGACCGCCCACCGCATATCACCCTGCGGCCTGCGGCTCGGCCCGGCCCACCCCGGCCCCCCGCGGCCCACCCCCGCGCGCCCCCAGGGACCCCGCGGCCCGCCGGGCCCCGCCGCCCGCGCCGTGATAAACGCTCATAAGCGGCGGGAACTGTGGGAGTAAAAGAAACACCGGCAAACAGAAGGTGTGCGGGGGTGGCGGCCGGGACGGCGGCGGGCGCTTAGAACCTAATATTGAATCGGGAGGCCCACTTTTCTCGGCGTTATTGTAAGTGCTATACCGCCGCGCGCACCCCCAAGTTTGGAAGGTAAGGAGCGCGTAATCGACTCGCCAATGCTAAGCTCCACCGCAAACTGGTGTGGTTGTGTTGCCGTGTATGGGGCGGGGGCGGCCAGAGGAGGGGGCGGGTCGCGGCCACACCTTCGACCCTCGCGCCACCCTCTGACCGCACCTCGGCGCGCCACAAACTCTCTGCTCTGGTTTTGCCGTCCAGGCAGGCACAGTGAGTGTGGCCGCCCCCGCCCGGTAGTGACTGCCTGACCCCAAACGGCGCCCCGCCCGCCCCGCCTCGCCTCGCCAGACCTCCCCTTTGTGGAGGCCGACGGCACCGCAGTGTTTCGCTCAAGTACACGCCACTACTATACTTGCCTCCCCCCTTCACCTGCAAAGGGACTCCGGCCAGACTGTCTACAAAACACTCACCAGCACGCGCGCTTTACTTGCGCTGGCTGGCTGCCCCGGTGTTGTCCGTCGGCCTGCCCCCTCAAGATCGCCGCTGGGAAACACAAGACTTCTCCCCCCTTCCCCCTCCGCACCTCACACCTGCTCATAACAACCACAGTACGCTTGTTTCGCATTCGGCGGTTGTTGGTTATTGACCCGAGCAAACACTCCCAAGCCCGTCAATCAGTCTCGCTGCTCGGCGAGCGTGAGGCGGGAAATGACATTCGGATGGGCCGTAACACGTTCCCGCCGCCGCGCTCGGGAAAATAATGAAAAATATGCTATACGGCCATACCTGTAATCAAGTAGTGTAAATATTTGTTCGTGCGCCCAGCAGCAGCAGCAGAGACGCCAGAGGGCATAATCGCATGAGAGCGCAGCCAACTATTAGAATTACAAATTAATGAGAAGCAGCCCAGCCCGGCCCGGCGCGGCGGGGCGGGGCAAGCCGCCGCGTTCGTTCACAGGTAAAGCGTTGGGCCGTCTCACTCCCGCCCGCGAGCAGGCCGTGTCTCTGCTCGACTCCCCTACGCAGCCCGCTGGCTGGTATCAGAGGGTATCTCTGCGCGGCCCCGCCCCCGCCCGGCAGCGCCCAAACCACGGCCCGCGCGCTAAACGAAGATAATAGGGCGGACGACGCCCGGGAAAGAATGGCGAAGCAGTGTCGGGCTAGAATACATGAATGGGGGTCGCCAGAACATTATCAAACCAACAACAGTGAGCTGAAAGAAGAAAAAACTGTCAGAAATGAAGTAGCGAGAAATTGTGCACGTATTTTAGAGCGGCCAGTTGATCAAAACATCATATCAAATTCTCATACAGCTATGTGGCTGCCATTTCTGACTTTTAGTTCCTCCTCGTTCGCCACAGCACACCTCTGAAGCACCCTATTATATTTTTAAACGTTTTCAGATTGGAACGTTGCCGCCTGTAATGCAAACACCGGCCGTCCGGTGGTCTCCTGCTCGTTTGTGAGGCCAGGCGTAATTAAACACGGACGGCTTATTTACCTCGAGTAATTATTCCAAAGGACCTCCGTTTGTTCGCCTTTGTGGCGGGTCGCGGAGTCATGGGGCGCCGGCGCGCGCGCTCGGCAAAGAAGAAAAGGGCGCCAGACCAAAAAATAAAAAGGGCGCCGGCGAGTGCTTTTCTCGCGGCGCTGTTTCCACGCGAATGTCGCATGCTCTCCATATAAACCGCCAATTTCTACCTCCAAAAGAACACTCTCTCTTCCACTACAAGTGAATCCGTTTCCTCCTGTGGTGTCCCCGCCGCCAAATTCATACGTAAAAACGCTGACTAAAAGTGCCTTGATTGTCTTACACTACACTGATGGCGTATTAAGCATGATCAAAAAAACAAATACAGCTGAGTACTATTGCGTAGTTCAGCAGAGAACAAAATATTAATAATGTAATCAGGATAAGTAGACATATTGGAGGTCAGCTGGAAATAATCATCAATAATTGATCAAGCTATGTGCTGCAATTCATCACGACCTTTTTAAACAGGACGTACTCAGGTTTGGGATTTATTACTGTTTGGCACCACTACCTCCTCCAGCAAACGTATCGACTTTTACTTGATTATATTAGACTTCGCCAACTTAACGAAACCACCGTTTCCCGCCAAGGACTTAAACGCACGACGGAGTGTCGGCACTGTGGTGGGACCGACTCAAGTCCAGTTGGAATGTTGAACACAATATAGGAAAGTTTCTCCAAGTTCTTCTCAGATTTCAAAACACAAGCATTAATCAAACTCCCCCACCCCCCATAAAAGTAAAATCTTAAAAGACTGTCGAGTGGAGACATACCACAAAACGCCCGTGGGAAAGGGAAGGTCCCGGTGACTCATTACAGTGACCTGCCCCGAGCTGTCCAGGGAGACGTATTCGAAATAACAACATGATGATGACAACATATCGATTACAGAGATTAGAGGGACACGCGCAGGCTGCGCAGGCCGGGCCGAGCCGCGCGGACAGGTGTGACAGCGTGACGGCCCCAATAACGTCGTAACGACCCGACTCACTTATCGCGATCAAAGATCATCGCCTGCTTATTTTTGCTCCAGCGCCTTACGGGGCTCAGATGCGTTGCGCTGATCTGGGTGCACTTGTCAGGCTGACGAAACGAACGGCCGTGTGTTGCACCGGTGAGTGTGGGAACGCATATATGAAAATAATTTGTTTGATCGCGGGTGCTGGTTACCAATCGAGGCAAACGGCGGGTCAGTCGCGGGTCCCGCAGACGTACCTGGTGGTGCAGGGCCGTTGGGAAGAGCATCGCCGCGGTCGGGTCCCCGCCGACGGCGGCCCCGGCAGCTCCACCGCCGAACTCGTGGTGCTCTCTCCTGAGCAAGAAATCCCTGGCGGCGTAACCGGGGTGCGGGATCTGGTGGCCGTAGGCGGGGCTCTGGAAGTGGTCGGGCGGCATGGCACCTGCAGCCGCCGCGGCAGCCGCGGCCGCCGCCGCCGACGTGGAGGACGGCGTCGAGGACGCCGTCGAGGTCGCCGGCTCCATGGGCGGCGGGCTCATTTTGAGCCCCATGGAGGCAAGGTGGTGCGCCGTGTGGTGGTGGCCGTGGCCCGCCCCCGAGTCCATCAAGCTGTTGAGCATGGCGGCGGCGCGAGGGGCCTCTGGGGGCGCGTGGGGCGCGTGGGGGTGGCGCCCAGCTTCGGGAATGTTGACGGCCGTGGGGGCCCGGGGGCTAGGGCGCCCCTGGGGCCGCGGTGGCGCGGAGGGCTAAGCACCAACACACTCCACTGGCACGCACACGAGGGACACTCACTGGCACTGGGGATCACTGAACCATGGCACTAAACACTTTGGGCATCACTGACACTTGGGGGGAAGCACTCCAGGACCAATCCGAAAACGCACCAACAGACACGAGGCATACAGAAACACATTCACCCACAAACGCACGACACAGGTTCGCTGCCGGCGAGCGCTCGCACACACACAAACACGTAGATGGAAAGCGCACGCACGCACGCACCGTGCGTCGAGCGAGGTTGCCGCCTTCGACTCCCAGCGAGAGACTGACGAGAGGTCCTGGCGGGGTGGCGGGCCGGCCCCCTCCCTCCCAGCGGCCGCCTCCCCCACTCCGCGCCAGGCCCCGCCCCCCCGGAGCGGACCCCCGCCCCGTCCCGCCCCGCCCTCCCCACCCGCGCCCCGGGGGCCGGCCAACCGGAACCCGCGGAGAGCCGGCAGGGGTCGCGGGGCGGGGCCAGGCCGGGATCGCTGCTTCCACGACGCGCCACGGGGAGCGCCCGCGTCGCGCCCGCGGCTCGCGAGCGTCGCGTCCCGCCGCGGCGAGCTGCAGCAGCCGCGCCTCGGCGTCCCCAGGGGTCACCTGGGTCAGCCGGCAGCAACAGGAGCGCGAGCTGCGCCCGGCTCGGCCGCGCACCCACCGACGCGTCCACCTCCCCGTCGAGCGGGCCGGAGAAGACGTTAGCACGGCGCGCCAAAGTGTAAAGGGTCACTCACACATACATACGCGTGCGCAAAACGGGCTGGGGCACACACACAGGTGCTAGACGCGCGACGACCAACGCCCGCAAAAGGTCCTGGCGCCGTCGACACGACGCCACTCGTCGAGCGAGGTACTCAATAAAAACGAGGGGGAAACCACTCCCTTTTTTTCCTGCCCGGCGACGACGCCTGCCCATGCAATTTCCCTTCCCAACACTGAAGATAAAATTTGACGATCTCTACGTGGACGCAAAAATGAATGGCAGCTCGACGCGACGCGTTCCTCATTACGGAGCGGGGCCGAGCGGAGCGGTCCGTCCTGGCGAGGCGAGGCCAGAGGTGCGGCCGGGCCAGCCCAGCACGGCCACCAATTAGAAACGTTATTAGCTGCCATAGTTGGAGACGCACTCTCTCGCGGCGACGCGTCCGAAACACTCGGGCCTATCTCTCGCATCGCGGGGCTTATTGCCCTTCCGGACGCGTCCCAGGCTGGGGCGGCGGCCCGTGCCCCGCGCCATAGTCCTTGCTCGGCCCGAGGGGCGTGGAGGGAGGAAGACATCACCCCGTGCGGGCCCTGCTGCGGGTCGAAGTGGATGTTCAACACCTTGCGGGCCCCGCGGGGTGCGGCCGGGCCGGCCGGCTGATAAGCCTCCCGGCGAGCTAAACGCCCGGCTAAGCTGCCCACTTTGTAAAGCGATCACGGCGGTGATGCCACCCACAACAGGCGTGTCGCATCGCCCGCCGTCCTCGTCGCACCCGCAGGGCGCGCACGGGGGGGCAGCCCGGGCCGGGCCTGGCGGAGCCGTGAGTGCGAGCGAGACGGGACAGGGGCAGTCAGCGGGCGCGCCAGCGGGGTAGCGGTCCGCCCGCCGAGGCCCCCGCCGTCTTCGCCGTGGGGCTGCTCGACCCGCCCCACCCCGGCCCAGGCTGCCAACAGAGCAGCCCGCCACGGGGCCACGGCGGGGGGACCTCGGCGCGCGCCTCGCCGCCCCGCCACGCCCCGAAACAACCCCAGGAAGCGTCTCGGCGTGCTGCGGGGGCGTTGCGGCGGGGCGTGCCGGCAGCGCTCAGGTCCCCCAGCGGGCCTGCCGGCGGGGTGCGTGTCATTGGGATAAACACGCACGGTCATCCCCGCCGCGCCGCGCCACGCCCGTTCGATTGTATCGCTTTTCGACGTGGATGCGTGGACTCATCATCTCAATTTACACGCGGGCGGCCCGCGACGGGCCACGCGCCAGTGGCTGCGCAGTCAGTCGGCAAACACGGCGGCGGAGCGTCGTGTTCACGCTGCGCAACACGATGACCACCCCGATGAGCCATCACGTGCTTTGGGCGTGATAACTACTATTACCCCGATAGCGAAAGGGGCGGCGCACGCCTTGCGCCGTGAATGCGAACCTGTTGAACTCAAGGCCCGCCGCCAGCCTCCGTGCGCAACGGGCTTCGGCTTTCCGCGACAGAACCTGGCTCATTACAAGGACATTTCTTTGTGGCCTGCTTCCCTCAAGTCGACAAGAAGACATACCCGAAAGGTTCAGGGTTCACCCTCACAAACATCGCCACCAGTCACACTACCAACCACCCCTCCCCGAGCAGAGCCAAGCGATTCACTTGGCCGATGACAACCAGCACAAGCACACCACCCCTCGCGTTTGCGCCGTCACCACGTAAGTCCCCGCGAGAGGAGAGCCATGCGCTTGTGCGCGACGCACATGTAGTACACCGACGAGCTGTAAATGGAGTCATTCCACTTTTCATCACGTCCTTCAAACGGTTATATATGCCTTTGCCTTTGCACAACGAGCACACGGTACGGTCCACCCCTCCCGAGCCGAGTACAAGCTATAATTACCGCCCGCCGGGGGGGCGCACTGCCGCTGCTGCGGCCGCTGCAGCAGCGCAGCCCGCGCAGCCAGACTGCCATGCAGCGCGGGACAGAGAGACAGAGAGAGAGAGAGAGAGAGAGAGAGAGAGAGAGAGAGAGCGCCACCCTCTCGCTCGCACCGACTGCGCGGCCGCGGCGAACGGCCAGGGGGATAGACAAGCACCGCTCCCTCCCCCTTCGACTGTGCGCAAGAGCTCAACGACGCTTTCTTACAAGTCTCGTAAAAGTGGTCATTTCAAATTATCTTGAGATTCGTTAAGAAAGCGAGGAGAGAACAGAAAGAGGGCAAGGGAGGGGGGGGAGGGGGCGTGTTTTTGTGTTGGTGCGTTCGTTGAAGCAGCAGTGTCCACGCGCGGGCCGACTGAACTCCAGTACTTCACCGTGAGCACCATCGCGACACAAATGGGAAATGGGGGGCGTATTTGCCTACACATACACATATCCTTTCTCTCTCACACACACACACGCAGATACTTTGACTGTATCCAGCTTTGCCGCCGTGTGGGCGACAGACGTCAACAGCCATTTCAGTCGATGACAGCGCGACACGGCAATAAATAGCCCCATACAGGGAGAGCGAGAGAGAGAAGGAAAGAGATAGAGCGAGTGAGAGAGGGGGGATATGTAGTTATGCCGAGTACGAATGCCGAAGCGATGACGATGGAATAGCAGCGTCCAGACACAAGAAGATGTTAGCTGGCCCCTCGGCCCTCGCAAGGGCGCTCACAACGTCTACCACCCTCCCACGCCAACGAAGAGAGAGAGAGGAGGGACCACGACCACGGCCCACGCACCCAGAGCGACAGAGACGCACGCCCACGCTCGCTGCGCAGGGGGGCCCCTCTGAGACAAAACGCCCTCGGGGCGAATCCCGCCGTTCCGCCCGAGGGAGAGAGAGAGGAGGGTGCCCGGTGGTGCCCCACCCCCACCCCGAGAGGGCCGTCGCCGGACGGGTCAGCCAGACTAGAGACCCCCAGCGGGGAGGTGGCGTATGGGCCGCGTTAGGGTGCCCTCGAGGGTGCCCCGTAGGGTGCCCTCCTGCCCCCCCCCCCCCTCGGGGTGCCCCCCGCTCACGTGTTGCATAACGAGTGACTCACGGCGCGCTCGCGATCAATCATCCCAAACACGGGGAGCGAGGAGGCAAATTATGCATATGCATATGCTGTGGCTGCTCTTGGGGGTTAGGCCCCCGGCTGCCCCGTGCCCGGCCGGCCGGGGCCCCGGGCCGGGCATTCCACGCCAGGGTCCTCCGGGTGGGTCCCTTCCAGGTGCCCCCTGGAGCCCCCTCTGGAGCCCCCCTCGGCCCTCCAGGAGCGGACGGTGCGTGCCACGCCTGGCCACGCCGCGCCAGGGTCAGGCCGAGTTGCGGGTTGCTCCGGGTACCTCCGCCATGACTCACCCTACCTCACCTTCCTCCACGGTATGCTGCTGCTGCTGCTGCTGCTGCTGCTGCTGCTGCTGCTGCCCAGGAGCCGATCGCATCTCGACAAATGTTCGATCAGCGGTCGTTTTTCTCTTCATTTCCTTCTTTGAATTTATGATCCTCAAATTCCTTACGATGTGTGCATGTGTGTGTGCGCGGGTTTGCGTGAGCACGATGCGAGTGTTTGCTGCTAAATAACAAGTCCAAGATTCGCACAGCACAGCAGTCAGGCACCCGGAAGTGCGCCGTGCTCCGTATCTGCAACATGAGAAGAGAAAACATCACGACAAAGTCACTGTGTGAGGGGAGAACGAGGACGATGAAGGGGGGTTCGGCGTTGGAGGGAGGAGGGAGGGGGGTAGTCAAATTAGTTATCGCCGCGTAGACACATTGGACGCTAGGCGCCGCATACTTAACGATTTGATTGTCGAAGAACGCTGGAATGTGAAGAACGATGAAAACTTGCATACTGAGATACCGAAAAAACATGATTCTTATACTACCCGAACCGAAGCGAGAGGGGTTTTATAAGTTATTAGTCGGGGGTAAACGTATCAGAGAGTTATCACAAAGAAAAGTGCCTTGTTTCTTGTACATCCAAAGAGACCCGTGATGGTCGCGGCAGTGCATCGATTTCATCTTTGTCGAAGTCCAGTTCCGAGACATAAACTTTCCCGCGCGAACGCGCGACATAGAAGCGCGCGCGCTGCCCGGCCGCTCCACGCACGCTGGGCGCTGGGCCACGCCTCGGCCCCTGGCTCCGCCTGGCTCTGATGATTGATTGATAGCTTCGCCTTTTGTGCGCCGCAAACAGAATTCGGCACGTCGGGAATGAAATTAAGGTCACACGCCTTAGACAAAAGGGCCTTCGTCGCTGTGGTGGTGGGACGCGTCCAAGTAATGCGAGTCTCCCGCGCGCCCGTGCAGCTTTATGACGATTCGAACGCGTCGTCGCGCAGAGAGAGAGAGAGAGAGAGAGGCGCGCCCTGGCTGGCCGCTGGTTGGCCGTCGAGCGGAGCGGGGCGTGCGAATAGAAGGCGCGAGAGCACATCTGTTCCCGGCCCCGCCGGCCCCGCCGGCCCCGCAGCGCCCCGTACCCGCCGCACCAACCATATAGCAGCAGCACGACGAGAAGTCCATTAATCACGCTCGCGTGTCTTTGTCTCCGCATCTTTCATCTGCTTAAATTACATCAATATCTATCGATCGACCCTCGGCCCCCAGAGTATGTATCTCGCTCCGTCTCTCTTCTTGACTCCTACTGCCGGG